GTTCAGAAGAGGCTGGACAATCTACGCAGATAACGCTCAGATGGTAGCGTAGGATACAATCGAAAAATCATAAATTCAAGACTTGACCGAGTAACTCTCTTTTTATATTTCTTAGAGATAAATGAGCACAACTTTGAGGGAAAGTAACATGTTGCATTCGTCACACTATTGGAGACACTACCATTTAAAAAAGGCACTTCTGACTACATATAAATAGAGATCAGCGACGAAAGACAGGTTTCATGCGAAGAAAGAGGCAAAAATTGGTGTCCATCAATGAAGTGTATGGAATATTTACATGCCAACTATTGCAGATATTCCTTTTTGTAGCTAACTTGTTGACACCAAGCAGATTATCAGTAAGTGCTTATCAATTTTGTCCGTAGCAAAAATCCGTCGTACGTATTTGTTATAAATCACGTGTGATGAAACGATCACCTTCGGCCGTTAGCATAAGCAGAACGTCCCTGGTTTGTGATGTCCGCAGTATTTGCAAAGTTGCAACACTTGCTATAAGGCACCGGTTACTGCATCACAGAAGAAATATCCCTCTCCGAAGGCAGATCTGCTCTGCCTTGCGCCTCCATGTTGCACGCTGGCCTCCTGGTCGACGTCTGCGTATTATGGCTCCCACAGGAAAAGTTCGGGGGCTGGAGTAAATGGTGCATGCCCAACCAGTTTGTCTAACAACGTCAATCTTCTGTTCTTAATCTCTACATCTGCCGAAGTTATATGTGTCCGGAAGAGAAGAGGGTCACAAATGATGTTATCCTACCATTCAATCATCACTATGCGTCGCACTCAACGCTGCTCGAATCTCAACCACTGCTCTGGCTCCTTCGTTTGAACAACTGTCTCTATGGCGTAAAACCAACATTGGCCTAACATTTGCAAGGTAGAGGCGGATTTTCGTTGGACTTGTAGCTCCATTTTTGGTCCAAACATTGGCCAAGTTACCCACTACACTCGAGGCTAGGACGAACCTCCTGTTTAACTCTGGCTGGGCACTGCTATAGCTGGAGATGACTGAGTCGAGGTACTCAGAATTGTCAACCTTCTGAAGCGCTTCAACCGAGTTCCACTTGTAGGTCAGCTGTGCCGCATGGGTTCCTCCATTTCCTACATTTCTCGCCAAGGAAATGAGAGCTTCGAAGTTCTGTAAGCTTCATCGACGTTGCTACTTCCATACTGGGTGCTAATAACTCTCTACCTCCTCCTGGTAAGCCCATCGTGCAGATTCGTTCCATTTTAGCCTGTATATCGACAGGACTACATTCATGGATCTTCGTATGCACCATCTGATATCACTTAGAGTCAGGCTATATCTACCAAGGAAGCACGGCGGCGCTGTATGGTGAACATTGCTGATTTCTGCAAAGAAGATATGAACTTTCGCACACACTTTTGATGACAGAACCATAGCGAAAAAAGGATATACGCCGCCAGAACTGTATGATGCCAATTATGTGGTAAAGAAGAAAAGAGTAAATCTAGACGTGATGAACAGAGGCCTTACGTGTGATGGAGTCGACCTGGAAAAGTTGTTTGCTTGGCTTCCACAGAGAGGACTGTTTGCGAAAACAAAAAGATTTGCAGTGGCAATAAAAGATCAAGTGGTGATTACGAAAACCATAGGAAATACACTATGAAGTAAAGGATGTGGGGTAAATGCAGGATGTGCGGCAGTAGAACGGAACAGATCGAGCATTGTGGCAGGTTGTTCCATCTTAGCAAACAGCGAGTACCACAAGCGACATAATACCGTTACGAAAATCATACATCACAGCTGAAAATTTTAAGAGATTTCACCTCAGAAACTACGCCGTATTATCGACACAATGCACTAAGCGTGCTTCAGAATAAAAAATGTAGCGTCTATTTCGACCACAATACACTCATCGATCGTGCCGTTGTTCTCAATTGTCCAGGCATTAATTTTTGATCACAAGAAGAAGACATGACAGTAAATCTTACTGATGTCACTGTTCCATTGGACGAAAATATGCGGAAAGCACAGGTGCAGAAAAGAAAATACCAAAATCTGGCAATCGATCTGAAGCAGGCATACTGGTAAAAGATCGGACGAACAACATCGGTGGTTATCTCTGCAAATGGCCTCATTCCGAAATCAGTTTAGAATGAACTTGGACCACATGAAACTAAATAAATACCAGAAAGCTGCAGTTCTGGATACAGAAAGAATAGTGCAAAAGAGCCTATAGGATACTACAAATATTACGCAGCAGGCCCCGCCGTTAACTGGCTACGTTTCGCTCCTGACTGCCGGCAGATTGTCCTTCGTATTAGAAAACGTAAAATATCAATGAATTTGGTGAAGGCAATAAGGCAGTAGTAAGAAGTTGGCTTGCCTGAAGTGTCGGGTAAAAAAAGAGAAAAATTTTATTTTATTCGCAAATTCCTTGGAGTAAAAATAATTCACTCCGAGCTGCTAAGGTGTCACCGGTCGAGAAACGGTTAGCACGTCGTTTGCAAACAATAATGACAGCATGGTGCTTTCATGCGGTCCAGAATGGACCAGAGGTTCAGCCATGTTTAATACGAGTGCCGCCTACGGTTGCATTCGCTTTGAGATATCGTACAGCTGACTACTCAGCTGGATAATCATCACAGTGTGAAAATTCTGTTGTTATTGAATACCGTTTACAATAATAATACTTACATGTAATTTGATGCTTTGGTAAATCACAAAAAATGTGCTTTAATTCTGACGTTTAGGGCCAGGCTCGGTCTGTCCTCAGAAATCCTGTACCTTATACACGTGATTGCGAATATATGTTATAATCATCATAATCGCTCATACTCATTATTAGAAATAATCTGTTGTGTTAAGGCAGCAATAAAATTAGTTACTGCATGACAACCACGCGCGGCTAGCAACGCAGTTATGTATGCGTAAAAAGATCCTTCTCAAAGGAAAACAAAATTCGTGCAAACACGTACTTGCACTTTATGCGCACTTTCTTTCCCAGACGATCGTTGCACGTCACCTCCAACATTTCGGAACTTTGAATGAAACTAAAAGTGTTATTGGTTAACACATATGAGCACCGCAAACAATCTACTCAATCTATTCATACATAAAACAGTGAATGCGCAAATTCGACGTACAAATAACGAATGACTCATAAAGACAAGATTTCACGCGTGTTGCACCATCCTATTGCTCCTAGTTTCCTATGGGGACGATTTATGCAGGTGACTGCAACATGATAATTTGGTGGTGGTGCAATTTGCCGTGAAATCTGTTCTTGGTGGAATCATTCGTTATTTGACTTACTCTGGCGTACGAACATATTTGATATGTATATGATAGTATATAAGGAGTAGCAGATGCTGTTTAACAGCGTTCTTGATGAATGCGCAGTGGCCGCAGCGGATAAACGATGCAAAACATTTCTTGTACTGCAGACGCTCGAATACCATCAAGCCGTTTCCTGCTTACGTGGCCATTCATGCAACTAGGAGCAAGAGGTTGGTACAATTCACCATGAAATCTGGTTGTGGAAGAGTCGTTCGTTATTTGACATACACGGGTGTACGAACAGTTTATGCAATTAATGCGAAATTCTAGGTGATAAACATTAACGAAGAAATTTTCCTGTTACAGTAGAGCGACGATAATCCGGACTAACTGCGGTCTGACCCCATCCGGAATATCGACTTATCCGGATTTTCAAATCGCATATCGAACCTGGCCTCTTCAGGTCAATAAATTAAATATACATACATACATGTAAAAATATATAGCTTACAACTATTTTGTTGAAAAAAAAGAAAGAAACAAAAGAATAAACTACACATCTCCAGCACTGTATTTCAAATCACATCAACTATTGTAATTCGTTATGGAAAAAGTCTTTCATTGTTTTTTGAATAACATTTGTGCTTCATTTTTTGGCAGCCAAGCCTCTATTTCCTCGTAGACAGGCAAGTTGAGTTGTTGTGCACTCCGGCTGTTTTTCTAGCCAACTCATAGCAGTCTCCAAAGCATTAGCAGTGTCAGCGTGGGTTGACCCGGCATATTCCTCGTTATCGACGTCTTCAACGTCGTCATCATCTGCAGGAGTCTCAGTATCGGTTATTGCGTTAACAATCTCCTCATAATTTAGGACCTGGTAGTCGAGATCAATTTGTCGATCTCCAGTAACTTCCAAAACTGATGTCGCTTCATCTTCATCGCGTTCAGGTTGATTTTTTGCACTGTTTCTTCTTTAGGCCAGAGTTTTCTCCATCCACTCTCTAAATTTCTTTGGGTCAGGCTGTACCAGACTTTTGCAGGCATGTCAACACAGTCCTTAAGTTCAGTGCTTCCGTAAAAGCCCAACACTTTTTTCATCCTGTTGTGCTAGCAGCAGGTGGCGCAAAACGCTTTTTCTGTGTGTTTGTTTTATCTTCTCAATGATTCCTTGGTCCAAGGGCTGGAGTAATGTTGTTACGTTGGGAGGCAAGAACTGTACGTCAAAATCGTCAGTCAGTGGCGTTAAGAGTTTCAACTGGAGGATGTATCGGGGCGCTGTCAATAATCAGAAGCACTTCTCCGTTTTGCCTTCCATTTAGCGGTGTTTCTTTGCGCCTGATACAAATTCATTCACATACCAGTCCCTGAAAATGTCAGCAGTCACACAGGAACTTTTGAATCGTCTGTTCTCGACGATGAAACTGACACTTGGAAAATGTTAATCGGAGATACTGGCTTCAGATAAAGAAGCCAACGATCAAGTTGCGAAAACGTTGTCTGTTTTTACTTATTGACTCCAGTCAAATTTTAGATTTATCATACAACCCAATGACATTGTGACGATCGTGAATTTCTTAGACACATCAGCTTTGATCCCGCTGAGAGTATTAAGAATCTACATTTCAAATGAATAGTTAGTACCATTTTATGCCCAGGACTGTTTTGCTCACTTCCATGCCTAAATCAATAAATTTATTCTATTGCAATCATCTGCTGCTGTAGTAGTAGTAACGGAATCGACAGTATTAGAAAGACACACAGAATGGTAACGAGTTACACGGAATGCATGGAACCGAGTTTTAGCTCTTCCTGATAGTCCTCTTTAGCCATATTTATTCGTACGTCATATCAGTATGACTGAAGACGACTGCCCGAGGTAATCGAAGTCAACTTGAGGGTTATCATGCAATTTTTTGATAGGCAGAAAACCATGTAAAATCATAAACTTGTTTGTGCCAGAAGCCTATGCAAAACTTGGATCATCTAAATCGCCAATCAAAAGCTTTTATCAGTCCAGAAAATAAATCATAGAATTTCGGT